ACCAGACAGCGAAAGTGATGCTAAATCCTCTACGGTCCTCATCGTTGGTGCTGGTGTTGTTGGCTGTGTCACTGCCATCAAATTGGCACAAGCAAAGATTGATTGCACAATAATCGAGAAACTGAACGAAACCAGCATCGCACCCCGAGCATGTGGCTACTTTGGCGCAGCCCAAATTTTCCTGAATGAGATTGGAATGTATAAGCACATTCGAGAAAAAGGGTTCATGACGCGCGGAATAAGTTGGCGAGGGTTGCCAAAAGATGACGGCACAGGAACCTTCAAGCAATATGGAGATCTGGTGGCAGCACAGTGGCTCTGCGATCCAAACGACTATGAGTTGCCTGTTGGAACGGGGATGCTGGGTTTGCCACAAGGATCACTCAACAGATTGCTTGTCGAAAAAGCTCTCGAGACGGGCTATGTCCGCGTGGATTATGGCATGAAGCTATCCTCGGTCATGGAAAACAGCAAGAGTACGGGTGTCACTGCTCTAGTTGAGGATGTCAATACCCAGAGTGAAATCAAATACCACGCAAGATACTGTGTTGGTGCCGACGGTGCTCACTCGGCTCTGCGGCGAAGTCTGAACATACCTTTCGGAGGTCATACGTGGCCCGAACGAATCTTGACTACTAATGTAATGATTCCGAATGTCGTGGATCCGGTGTATCACTCGTTTTTCTACATGGTCGACAAATTCTGGGGCCTAGCATCTCCTCTGGAGGAAGCTATTCTTGGGAAGACCACCCTGTGGCGATACAATTTTGCCGTTCCGGCCGACGACACACGAAGTGACGAAGAACTACTGTCCGACGAAACCATACTAGACCTCTACGAGACCAGGATGCCGGGCCCTCGTCCCCTTCAGGTGAAGATTGAGGCAAGGGTGCTATACAAAATACATCAACGGTTGGTCCCAACAATGAGAAAGGGACACTGTCTACTCGCAGGTGATGCCGCCCACGTCTGCAATGTGAGTTCCTTTTCCCAAATATATATCTGATCGAAGAATTGTTGACCCTTTCATTCTCAACTATAGCCGATGGGAGCCCTTGGTCTCAATACAGGAATCCTCGATGCAGACGCCTTAGCTGAAGCTCTCATCATGGTGCTCAAGGAAGATTGCTCCGACAAAGTGCTTGACCTCTACTCTGATGAACGACGTCAGGTATTCGCGTTCTTTGTGGACCCTATGTCTACACAGAATAAGCTCCGCATACAAAGTAATCCTCCCGAAGTTGCTCCAGAACAGGATTCGTATTTCCGGCTGCTCAACAGCAATCCGACAGAGGAGCAAATGAAAGAGCTTATGAAGCCTTACTTTGAAACTTGGAGGACGGCTATAAGGAAGGTGGCGAAAGCGGCTGGACTCTAAGCTCTTTAAATCTTAAGGGATATCGGAAATGGATATTCTCAACCTACAGTGAGCATGCAGATGCTTGGAAGGTCAGAATGAAAGTGGATAACACTGTACCCATCGGAAGCATGTGTTCCCGAGCCTCGCTTCTTAATTGGCACTAAGTAAAATCACAAGTGTATATCTTCGCCTCCAGATAATTTCCCCATCTTGATAGACTCCTTCGATCCTTAACACATGTCTCGTTGATTCATGATGCACCAGCACAACCATGGCCAGCAGCGTTAATAGTATTGAATGTGGGCAGTGTAATCAAGTCTTCGGTCGTAAGGAGCATCTGGAACGCCATCAGAGGATTCGTATGTCGTTTGGACACAATATCAGCTGAATCTTCAGCAATCTGACTGCTAACGTTCGAACACAGACACCAAAAGCAGACCCTTCAGATGTGAACTCTGTGAGCTTTCTTTTGCTCGACACGATAGTTATCTGCGCCATAAGAGAGTACGCCACAAGGCGAATCTCAATCATGGCGAAGGATCCTCGAGAACATTGGTCGCCTGTGATGCTTGCCGGGCGAACAAGGTCAAGTGCAACGCGGACCAAACACCGTGTCAACGATGCGGGCGCAGAGCATTGCAGTGCACTTTTCACAAGTCCTCCAAGGCTCCCGTCGCAGAGCAACTTGGTGGTGGAATAACCGGAAACGCCTCCGTGATCCGAGGGTCAACATCCGGAATCAGCGACTGGGAGGCTGCCAATCACCTTCCTCCGCCTGGGGGTTGCTGGCAACACAGCATCCTTCCGTATGGCATACCCCAGGTGAGCTTCTTGGACCAAGGGCCGGGAGAAGATAACAACTTGCTCGTCGATGGGAGTATCCACGCACCCTCGTTTGCGATGCCGGCACATTCGAACTTCAACACTCCAGGAGATAGCGAACAACTGCTTGAAAGCTTAGGACCGCAGGTGAACTTTGTTCAATCTGCAAAGTTTCCTGACAAGAACGCCCTTGATCTGGAACCTGGCAGCTTGAGCGCTCAAAACATGGATGATGTTTTCTTCAACATTTCGACTGTGAGTTATTTTACATTTCTCTCCGTAAAAGCTCATGTTGCCCTATGATTAGATGCTTATAAGGACCTCCCATCCCTTTGAAGCGCTAATGCGGACCTGTTGCACTTGTACGCTGACAATAACGAAGAGTTCAGAGCCCTCGGCCACCGATCACAACTTGACTTTATTTGCCGATCACATGTACAGTGCGTACGGTATCAAACACTACCACGGTGGCGTCGAAATGACCGATTATTTAGCTGAAGTTGATGCAGCTGCGATTTCCGTGGAAAATCATGACACCGCAAATGAGACTCCAGAATCCCAGCGAGTTGCCGCAGCCTACCAGAAGTTGAGTGAGTTGTCAAATGCCAGCACCGTTGCTGTCTCGCAACCACCCACGCCACGAGTAACGATAAAGCACCAGCAATGGATAGCGAGCCTTATATTCCAACCTTTACCACGCTTCGATAGGGACATTACCAATGTCTTCATACATTTATTTGAAGACAATGTGTGCGGGGCTTTCCCTATCTTTCGGGGATTTCGCATCACTCGAGATACTCCCCAGCACCTTTACCTTGCAATGGCAGCTGTGGGCGGCTTATACTGTGCGACTGCGGGTTCGCTACGGATGGCAACGTGGTATATACAAAATGCTCGACGGCATTTGTTCACAATTGTATGTCAAATCATTTTACATCGCTCCGAAGTCCTATGCTTCCGCCAGACACAATTTCTCAAACAACAACATTCAGGCGCTGTAGGTTAAGCTGATTCATCGCCAGGTGTATCATTTCAAGTTTATGGGAGCTAGAAATATACTTCCAATTATCATGACAGTATGCAATACACGAAGGGTATCTGAACTTGACAGCTGCTGACATAGATCTGAAGTATGCTCTGCTCGAATTATTCGGATATGTGAGTGGTGAGCCAAGATCTTTCGAGCTCATTGATGTTTGGCATTTTGAGATGCTGCAGGTACGTTGAAGCTTCTGGGAATTTGTTAACTTTATGCAATCTGCTGACCTCCCCAAAGCTTTTGCGTGGACATGGTCTGTGGCAAGAAAATGAGGAAATCGCAGAAGTTGAACGAGACAAGTGAGTTATTCTAATTGTGCAAGTCATGTTGGACACCTAATGACGCTTATAGGTTGATGCAATGCGTTTACATCCTGGAAAGCTATCGAGTTACCGTCCTGCATCGTCCACCGCTGTTCTATTCTTCTGGAGACTCAGCCTCGCTCCCTTTCATTGCACCGTCTTGTCTGACTGGTCCAGTTGACCTGAAGAAGTCACGGCGGTTACAATCCATGGCGTCTCTCAGTGGCTCTTTGGATAGACAATCGTCAATATCAACAAGCCTAGCTACTCTGTGTTCTATAATATCCTCGGCTGCTCAAGCCATGCTCAGGGATGTACCTGGACCAGCTCCAGACCACCACGTTCGCGCGGCCGATGAGGAGGCTGCGGCAAGTTCGACAATCGGAACCGTGTTTTTTGAGATGCTACTGAACACATGGCGGTCTACTCAGACCGTTGACCTTACACCCGGGCTGAGCTTACTGTTTCACATGGCGCATCTTAATCTGTACGTGTGCCTACCGGCCCTCCAAGACAAGGTGCAGCAAAAGATTTACGAGAGCGCAAGAGCAGGCTTGGCCGATGATGCCCATCATACCGAAACAGTCCCTGCACCTTTGCATACAAACCGGCAATTCTTTCGCAATACCGACGGTCGTGTCAAAGCTCGATGGCATGCTCTACAGATTCTACAGACATCTGAGGATATGGTGTATAATGTCAAAAATTTGGATGGTACGTGGCCACGCAAGACTTCTTCGGGAAGGAGATCCAACGATGATGGCTGTGGCATAAGTCTGGTGCCACATTTTGCATACTCCGTCTTCGCGGCAACTATATGCCTGTGGTATTCCGACGATGTGGCCCATAACCCATCGGTTTCTGCGGATTGGACGGAGCTCCTCAGCTGCAGCGCCACGTACCTCCAAGTTGGCCAAGCACTGCTGAGACAGGCGACATCAAATATTGCCCACGTCTACTGGAAGATTCTTGATGAACTTGGCTCTGCATCGCCTCCAGAAACACAAAAGTCTTGATTGCTTTGGTGGGAAATCTTGCCTCGAGTCCGGACCCCGCCACCACGCAATCCGACGATTCCCATATGTCTCCAAAACCACCAAGGTGGTCTTTTCCAGGCGTGCAGCACCCTTCAGTACTTCTGGGCGCATGATGTGACATTTTGCAATCTCAAGCACAGAGGTGACCATGTTCCCTAGTAAGTGTCAAGACCCATCGTCCCCCGCTTCACCAAGTTCCCAGCTGGCTCTCTGCGCCTTTAGTACATTTCTATGCACCTTTGAGGCACTTTTAGTCAATTTCTCTTGCCGGCAAGAGGATGTCCGGATATCAATGTTGATAATCATGAGGATAACAAGCTGGATATCTAGACAAGCATCGCCCTCACCGTACAGACTCACGTCGCGTAGCCAGTACTCCTGATGGCGCTTTCATCTCAACTTTCAAACAGGCACTGATGCAAGATGATCATCACTCGACTATGTCAAACTTCTACTCATATTTCGACGACGGCTATGACACACCGCACATCTTGCCTTCGTTGAATTGTTCGAACACATCTGCGCGCGACTCGGCAGGCGAGAACGCCGAAGTCCTTGAAGGGAACGAACCTCACATCACATACCCGTTGATGCTCTTCGCCGACTTCCCAGCATTACCCAATGGAGAGAAGCTGCAACATTTACTGGAGCTGTATCAGCAGAGAATCGTTTACGGAACTCCATTCTTGCATTCATTGTCTTCCTTTTCGACTACGACGGCCTCTTATCTCGTAATCACCAAGGCGCTTTTGGGCAGCGCCATATTGGCGGGCGGAAATGATACTGAATCATACGCACAAGCTTTACAAAGAGCTGCATTCTCTCTGCTCAACGGCTGTATGGAAATTGACAACTCTCTTGCCAGAGAACCGGGATGGATACATGCGGTATGTCTCTCGTCTGGACCATACTAGCCCGAGATCAAGCCAATCACGACTCTATGTGCTCCCCTTGCTATCGCTTTTCTCGACGTATTGTTTTAGGTTAGGGGTTATTGACTGCCCTTGCAGGCACTTTTGTATGTTCTCTATGCTACACTTCAAGCGAATTCGCAAGCTTGGAATCGAATGCAGGCATGCGCCGGTTGGCTGGATGCGGTATGGTGAAACAGTGATTTTTCAGCAGAACACTACGCTGGAGTCATAGTCACCCTCAGCTGACTGCTGACTACCAGGGATTCCTCCGAATCATGCTCAAAGGAGTGGCATTAGACAGAGACCAGGAGGGCTGTGGTGGAAGTCACAATCATCAAGAGGCTTCCTCTAGGTAAGCATGGATACAAGCTACATCATATTGTCCCAAGCCCGCGTGCTTGTTGCGCTTGTCGGGAATGATTACCTGACTACTCGCCCACAGCCTAGTCTGCACATGGTTCTTAGTGGATACCCTGCGTGCTGTACATACGCAGTCACCACCACTGCTGCGACCAGACCATGTTTCTTTCCCTCTCGACAGTCGGCGCAACTTCAAATCTTCATATGAGGCCCTTTTCGACAACCCCGCGATAGCTAACTCCGAACGGTCTTCTGATGAGGACCTTTTACTGCTGCTTGCTTTACTAACTGACATAATGGTATTTCAATATGGCTTTAGAGCGTTGCTCAGGCCCTCCGTTTCTGGACGCAAAGATGGAAGCATCCGTAGTTGCAGAGTTGGAAGTAACATTGCGGGACCGGGTCGAACAATGTCGCCCTTGACGAGGATGAGAACTCAAAGGACGTCCGAGGGTATGTTAACATCAGGACTATCTGCAGATGGTTTTGTCAATCCATATCTTCCGATGTCCGCCGGTGCCGAGTACTCCCGAATCAAGCGACATTTTAACAAAGCCCTCGATACTTGGAACCATCTTTTTCAGACTTCGAATAACCCGCCCCGCAGTTGCAACACTAGAACAATCATCCCACTAATACACTTCTGCCACATGGTTTTGGAAGCTGGCGATGCGATTTGGCTCCTTCCGGCGCTAGCAGGATATGTCCCAGTCCCAGACACCTCACCAGATAGTCATGCATATGTCGCGCCTGTCACCATCAGCAAAGACGCCATTCCCAGCTTTGGTAACGCAGCTGTCGCGGCTGCGTGGCAGATCCTTGAATCAATCGACAGTGCAGACTCTTACCCAGCGACTGAAAACTCCGAAAGCACCATCACGCCAGTTTGGTATCCTCTAATACTATTCTACGCAGCATTGGTTGTATGGTCTAGATATATCCATGATAGCTATACGAACAACACCTGGTCGACAAAGCCTGCAAGAAAGAGGCTCCTAGGCGCTTTTCAGCTGGAGCTAGAACACGTGCAACCACAGTGGGAAAGTACAAGAAGGATGATCCAAACGATAAAAGGCTTGATACTGGCCGATTGACTAGGTGGATATGTCGGATTTCTCATCCTCTTGAAGTACCCTTTATCAGCAGCTTCAGAAACTCAAGTCTCACCAGAACTGGCAACAGAGCTGAGCAACGACGCTCCAAGTTCGGGATACGTAGATCTGAACCATCCCTTTGGATCGCCACCATCTACAACACAAGTCCTGTCTGCTATCAACCATGCTCCATCTTCTTGCTTGATCACGATATCCTTCCACTCTCCCCAATGATCGACACTCGACATTTGCGTCATGGCAATAAAGTATGCCTGCGTGTGGGCTTCGGTCGGACTAACAAATTGGATATCAATAGATGTTATGTGATGGCGGGCGTATTGCGGCTTGTTTCCTCGAATGACCTCGAAAAACTTCTCAGGCTTGACTGCTTTGCCATCTGGCAGACGGAAGAAACCATCTTTGTGAAACAAGGCTATCATCTTGTCGATCTCCGGGGCATCGGTTGCGAGCACTGCATAGCGATGAAGCAGACTCTCGATTTCGCTTCTGGCAATACAACGATCCATTGAGCCATTCTGATTGAATTTTTCCATGGTAAAGAAGATTTCAGCCCCGGCTCAAAATCTTAAGAAGAAACTATGATTTGCAAAATAGGAGATAAAGGATGAAACGACGGCAGTTATATACATGTTATCGCGAAAACAAAGTCACAAAGAGTCGCACCTTAGAATCAAGATATCCATCAATTGGGACGTTGATAGGTCCATCCGAGGCGTCCTCAAGGCGGGGGGCCGATATTCCCTGAGTCCCAGTTCCCCAGTCGTGCATTCATCGGTTGCTTCGGAATCGACCTCCGGAGGGGTTACGACGACAGTAGAATCCGTAATACATCTCTTTCCTTGCTGTGCGCAGTCCTCTGAATTTGCCTTCCACCACGCCCGGCCGAACCCGCGGTGAGATCTGTGGGGTTCAAGATGAAAGAAATTCGCAGTTCCAATTCCCGATCAGCCGGGGCAGGTCTTGTCCACTTTCCGAGTCTGCGCATAGGCGTTTACTACATTTGCGCACAGCCCGTGAAGGAACAGAGGGCGCAGCCGACGAAGCACACGGAAAGGGCCAGGCAAATCAAAAGGATGGGGAAACCTATTCTGTCTGAGAATCTTCTCCCCAGAGAAGGATGCGAGACCAAGTGATGGCGACTACCACTTTTGTACACCCAACCATTGGTCGCCTTCGAGGCGTACCTGGAAAAGGTCTATCTCAATTTCTGGGCGTTCAGTATGCCTCACTCAAGGATCGCCTTGCAGTACCAGAAGAGATCCTTGATTATGGTGGAGGCGAGATTTATGTGAACAAACTCGGGTACATCTAGACCAGGCTGGCTCACCATGTTCTTTATGCTGACCGACCTGGGAGACCTCAAGCACTTTCGTCGCCCACAGGATGTGATTTTGAGCATTCTTTGATTCAACAGAGCTTGCCTCACTCCGAGTTCGAGATCTCCGATCGCAACTGTTTGCATCTGAATGTTACTGTCCCGAATGGCGCCAAGAATCTTCCAGTCATGGTCTTCATACACGGAGGTGGCTTTGCCGGTGGATCAGTGAGCTGGCCGCAGTATGATCAGGCGAGACTTGTCGAGGTATCGATCACCATGGGCAAGGCGATCATCGGCGTCTCTGTGAAGTAAGCTTAGAAGTCCGCTCCAGCTCCATTCAACGTGTTGACCAAAAATTAGCTACCGCTTGGGTATCCCCGGCTTTCTGACTTCCGAGGAGCTACGTAAAGCTGGTTACAAGACAAACAACGGCATTCGTGACCAGAAGGTGGCTTTGCAGTGGGTAAAGCGCAACATCGAAGGGTTCGGTGGAAATCCAAACTTGGTGACGATAGCGGGACAAAGTGCTGGAGCAGGTGAGTCATCGCAGAAACGACTAAGCAGTCTTCTAAACTGATGGCAACAAGTGACATCAATGCTTCTCCTGCAGTCTCCAGAGCTGCTGTTCCAGCAGCTGATTAGTATGGGTGGCACTCCACTGCTACTCCCAGACCTTCCAAGAGTTGTCTCAGAGGATGTGTATTCAACCATTGCAGCTGCACTGAATGTAGACAAGTTATCAGCTGAGGAGCGTGTTAACTACATACTCAACTGCCCTATGGAGGAACTTTATTCAAAACTTCCGCCCGGACTTCCTCTCATCCCCGTGGTTGACGACGATCTGGTGAAAGCCTTGCCCACATACAAGCAGACTCTCAAATATGGCCCGACAGAGATGCTACCAGGGATGACGTGGTGCAAACGCCTCTTGATAGGAGACTGCCAATTCGATGTATGCAATGCTCATATATCTAATGTTCCCACAATATCAGCTAACAGGTTTGTTACCAGGGTTCTATCTACAAGGGTGCTCTTGACACCCACTTGCCTAACCTGGGCAAAAGATTCCACGAGTTCTTGAAGGAGAGCCTAGCCGGCTACCCACTTGATGTTTCGACGCTCGAGGAAGCTTATGGGATCAATCCCGACTCTCCAGATGATGTGGTGACGAGCAACATTTTGCAATGGGCAACAGATATTGGTTTCTCGCTGCCTGCGAAAGTCACGTGCCAAACATGGTTGGGGGAAAGCTATTTGTATCACTTCAATGAGAAGAACCCGTGGGATGGTTTTGGCAAGGGAGAAGCGACGCATATCTTTGATGTCGCACTCCTCTTTATGAACTTCGAAGACCATCTGTCCCCAGCGCAACGTGCCCGGGCGAGCTTTTTCATAGAGGATGTGCTTCAGTTTGTCAATGCGGATGCGCCATTCCCTTCCTACCAGTCCGAGCACAATGGAGCGAGAGTCTATGGGCCAGTCTCAGCAAGATTCGTTACTAGTAACAACGCAGAGGACTTTGGTAGGAGGTCCACTATTCAGCAGCTGGAGAAACACGTTGGCTTTGATGCGATGAACCGGGTGCTGGGAGATTTCTTATCAAAGAAGTGGTGACCGGCCTTAAAAACAGAGCAGTAGTTTATATTTGGGCAAAATCATTGCCATTGACATCTTCGATGAAGCTCGTTGTGAAATCAAGCGTGCAAGTCGGGCTGCTGATGTCAGGTTCTTCAAAACCCAGGGCGGTAGGAGCCAAGTTCTCCTTAGTCTAGCCAGCAGTTCCATGTCAACATGCGATGTAAGCCGATATTTATGTTCAACTGCTCTCTGACAATAACGTGGCTCTTGATGAAGAGGCTGATGTGACATTGGCCACAATGTGGAGGATTGAATACTGACAAGCAACTCTGAACACTGAGGATCTCTGATAATGATTACCGATATGCTAACCTTAGACCGTATGCTCACATTGCAGCGGTTATCTTCCTCAAAGCCATCTACTGGGCGTCTCAAGCTATCTCAGGGCCACGAAGTCATTTTATCGATTTTATTTTGTTCTCATAGGTAGCACGTAACACTCACGGTCCAACCAATAAGAGTGACAGGACAATGATCTCGATGACTCTTCTTTTGCGAACTCAGTGCAATTGGCTTAGAAACGCGACATATCCGTCCTCCATCCTCTCATCCATTCAAAGTGTTGAAATTTTTCCGTAGGATCTTCCTTGTTATTAATGCTCGCATAGAACCAATCCTCCTTCGCGACAGTATCGGGGTGCGAGTCGTGTATGCGACGCTTATTCGCCGTGGAGATTGGATCTACGATGGTTTGGAAAACACGTCTTCGCTCCAGCGAGTACCGATCGAACAGTGATTCCGGTGATCCTTCCTTCAAGACACGGACAAAGGTCTGGGCAAGCGCATCTGCGTCAAGGATACCCGTGTTCAGGCCAAGACCACCGATAGGCTGTTTTAGTATCATTAGCACCAGAGAGTCAATATTCCCTTGGAGTAACTTACGTTATTGATATGAGCTGCATCTCCAGAGAGGAATGTTCGGCCTTTCCTCATTGTTGAGCAGAGTAGCTGGTGCATCTTGTAGGGCCTGTGGCGGATCAGATGAAATGGCTGGTCCTTGGGCCCATCCAGTTGTCTTCGAATTTGTTCGACGACAAATTCTTCGTCGTCAAGTTTCTCATAGGGAATAGACGAATCTGTGATGGCAACCGAGACTCTCCACAGCCCAGGCTTGCCAGGAGTGATTGGTTCGAGAGGTGTGACGACTCCCCAGTACACTTGGTCGACGACAATGATTCCGGGCAGCTTGTCCACGTGATCGACGGTGCGAATAAGGTCGGAGGCAATAAGACGCTCTGGCCAAGAATAGCCGTAGAGTTTCAGTCCGAGCTGTTTGCGAACTGATGAGCGAGACCCGTCAGCTGCAACAAGGTAGCTTCCCTCAAAGACGTGTGTGGTCCCGTCGACAGACTCCGCAGTCACTTCGACGCCATTTTCCGTTTCACGCGAACTGAGAAACTTGAATCCGAGTTTGACATCCACGAGGCTATCCAATGTCGGATCGCTTTTCAGCTTCGCCGCACATATAGTCACAAGCTTAGCTTGCGGCAACAGAAAGTAATGGTCTCCAGGCTTAGGAGGGCCGCTGGTTTCGTCCACCAACACCGCGGCAGCAATGATATCTCCAAACCTCTGACTACCTTTGCCATCATCGACAGCTCGCTTGCGATAGCAAAGTCCTGTAGCAGAGTCGGCCTGCCTCGCCACTTCGTCGTAAATGTCGGCGTCTTGAAACACGAAATGCGACGGCCCAAATAATCCCACTGCCCTTGGCTCATCAGGGTACGACGGAAGAATTTCCAAGACTGTTGAAGGGATCCCCTTCTGGGCGAGTAGTAGTGACAGAAGGCTGCCGACTGGACCGAATCCAATAATAATGATAGGTTTGGTAGTAGCCATCGCGTATGCTTGATGTTTGTCGAGTTGATAGATGCACTTTTGGCGCTCTTTTGTATCTAGTATACTGTTGAATGACACTTCAGTGGACACTAGTAATGTATCTGAGTCTGTGAAGACGAATACGAGTGGTCACTAGTGGTGTGACCTTCACTCTGTGAGAATCAACTGAATTCCTTGATGTATTGGCTTCGAGGTCGTTAGGAACTTTGATTCCACCGCAACAGCCGGCCGAAAACGATGTCAGCGGTCTCACTTTGCACAATTTGTTGACATTACTGGGATCTCACAATGTTTACAGAATGGAGCACCATGTTCGTAATTCATTTCCCTGCAGGTGTTATCGTGATTGAAGTCTCAAGCTCCACGAAATGTCTCAATTTGAGGGCTTGTCATCTATCCGGGAGGGTTATTCTCCAGATCCATACGGAGGTGGGTCAGCACCCTTCCCTTATGAAAGCTGAGGACGTTACCCGGCAGAGCATCGGCCGAAACTGTGGTGAGTATCAGCCGCTTCCTGTCCTCATGGACCACAAGGTCTTGCGATTTCAAATATTGATTCACGGAGCGGAGCAGGTGACATGGTCCTGTCGCCACTTCACACGGTGTAAGCAGCAAGAAATTGATTCTTCATCACAGGTCGCTTCTACCAATTTTTGCTACTCTTCAGTAGGCCTAGTATTACATTCAAAAAACTTCTGGCAAGACCAAATGCTCGCATTCGTCTCAACATTTGAGAAATCTGATACAGCAACTGTCGGCGGCTTTCAAATCCCCACAGGTCAGGTATCTCATGGATCCCGACGGCGGCCGGTGTCTTATTCTGGATCCAGTCATCAATCAGAGCGTCTATTTCGCGGTCGTCGCCTTGAATACGATCAATTTGTAGATGTCTCGTCTCGCCTGCAATATTCTCGCCAGGCAAAATGTCAATCAGAGACCATATAGTAAGTCCAGCGTGGAAAACGCTGTATGGTTCGTAATGCAAATTGCACGGAAACGTTCGTACTGCCGTAAGTATCTGAGCACATTGATACATTACCCGTCTGGCTCGGCTAGGATCGTCGAGGGTCCAGGCTCGAAGCTTTCCTCGTGCCTGGGCCGAAGTCTCTTCGCACAAAAGTGAGTAGAGCCAGGTAGGCACTAGGCCCATTCCGAAAACCATGGCCGTACGTGTAAGCAGGGTCCTATGCATCAGAATGGCAAGTTCTGATGGACCCTTGAACATACTCTGGATGCTCAGAGGTTCTAGTTGAGACTCAAGAGTTGAAAGAAGGTTAGAGCGGCTCTTCTCGAAGTCGACTGTACCTTGCGTAAGGCTCGAGATGGGGCTGCCGCATAGCTGTGAGATGCTGTACAGATCTCGAACCAGGTGAAAGGCGATTATCAATTTGTGATGCCGATCTGTAGGCTCATCGTCGACATCCAGGTTAGCATGGGGAGTCTTGATGTCCAGTAGAACCTTATGCAGGGACGGTCCTTGGGGAAAGCTTGCACTCCAAGGCGTTAGTGCAGCGCAGGCTTGAGGAGAGCTTGCGGTCCAATGATCGATAGAGCAGGGAAGATTTAGTTGTACGTCGGCTAATGACAGGCAAGGCGCAGTATTGTGCATATGCCCACCGGTCATATCAAACTCCTGTTCTTCACATTAACTATGATAGCGCGTCAAGATAGGAGAGAAACGAACAAAGACTGCCCATGCGAGACGTGTGCGTGCCTCCTGCGCCGCCCAGCTACGCCATCGCTCTTCCAGTGGCTTTTGCAGGTTGTCGAACCAAGGCTGATTAGCGAAAAGACCCATGTACTTACACTGGCTGACCAGGAAGCTTCGTTGAGATCTGCTGAATTCGAAAAGCCGCTTATTGCCACTAGCCACACCATGAATACACTGCAGCAGCTGAGACTTGACATAAACCTCTGTCCTGAGAAAGACCGGGTCTGATTCTCCCTGTGACAATTAGCTAGAATTTGGGTAATTTTCGGTCAGCTTACCATAAATATCAGGAGACGTCGAAGGTACTCCGACAACAAATTAGCAAAGGCGTTTGCACCTCTCAGTCCAGTGTAACAGAGACCAATGCACGCCATGGCCAAGGTTACAATCAGGTCCTCAGAAGGATTAAATGTTGGGCGATGAATGAATGATATAGTCTGTCATTTGTATTAGCGTCGCTTGAACTCTTGTCACATACACTTTCTCGCGCAGTCTTTCGCAGAAGGTGATCTGTGGCCGAGAATTGGCTCACCTTATCAAAATGAGCAAAATACATATCAATGCACTGGTCGATGTGTCGACTTTCGAGAAAATTCGCAAGGGATGTAGGCTTCCACAAGGTTTGCTTTGTGGGGAGACTGAGTACTTCGATCATAGATTCTCTCGCATTTGAATCAATGGGACGAATTTGGTAGAAATTTGCCGACTTTTGATTACTCAGTTCCGGTTCACCAAGAACAGGAAAGCCGGAAGATTGAGCTGATTCTTCCAGCCAAGCTATTGGCCATACCTCTCGCAGGCCGGGACTATTCAAGTCGGTAGAAGGGTGTGAGGCCGGTACTGGTGTCTGACAGCCTTCCGAGTCTACATTCGCGTACTGAAGTTTGGCTCGAATTGGGCTGGGATCATGTAGCTGTGGAGTATAGAAATCAGTCACAGCGCCAGGTAGTTCCTCATCATTGATGCTGAATATCCAATCGAAATCGACAAGAGGAATTTGATTAGAAGGATCGATGACCGAGTCTGAGGTTCCTATGAGAGCATCATCAATACTCCTAGTCCAGTCAAGGCCGTGAAGGTCGTGTGCCGACGAAAGCGAATTGGTCTGTCCGTCATCCCAGCCTAAAGAATTTGACGTATCCGGGACGCGTGTCTCTGGCTGTGCTTCGAGGAGTACATCTGGCTCTAACAGATGTGTGCTCACAGGTTCTTCCGTATCAATAGAATCTTGTTGAGCTGAATCTGTAGCTCTGATGCAGTTGCTCGGCGACTTCGAGTATTGCGGCCTGTCATAGAAGCATTGTACTTTCCGTTGTACGCATCGGGAGCAAGACGGCACTTCTTTCTCACACTTCAGTTTCGACCTGGAATTGTTAATCATTGCTCACCATAACAAGTGAATGTCAACGTAGCCAGGGGTGTGGTTTACTCACGATGAACACGGTATGCACACGTTCCTCCGCCGCTTCGAAACCCATCTTGGTTTTTCGTGAGTCCGCTGATGTCTGACTAAGGAGTCTCTGCTTTTGGTTTTAGAACTGAGCCAGCCCTAATCTTGGGACAGTCAGACTCACTTTCTGCCAAACATTTTTGAACAAATGGGACATTTCATGATATTTCTGACCCAAATCAGTGAAGCTGAAGCTAAATTTAGGAATTAAAATTCAATGTATGGCGGTACTTACTGACGGCTGTGCTGGTCCTGCTGAGGCCGCTCACCATTGATATCAGCACAAGCCATATCTAGTTCCATAGCTGCAACACGGTCAAGAAAAATAATGGTAATCTGCATCAAAGACAATAACATCCCTACCCCGATCAACAGATTTAACAGAGTCCGGGGCCAGGCGATTGCCAAGCCTAGTACTAGCACGTGGATTGCGGGGAAGAGGATGATTACTTCATACTACGCATATCTATCTACCTGCTACTCAGCCATTTGGTCTTCGCTCCAGTGCATACAATAGGCAGAAATCTAGGCCTCAAAGTATCGAGTCGTTACGATTCTACTATGTTGCTGAAGGATACCATCAAAATTCGCTGAACGCATTTCAGCCTGGTTTTGAGCACCGTAACTACACCCCGCATTCACCATTCAATCGTACTACTGTAGACGTTCTGCGGGTGTGGAGTCGTCCACACTTTTCGGCCGAAGATTGTGAAGCGAAAAAGTTCGCGCTCCATATGAACAACCCAAAAGAGCGCCACAAAGTTCAAGCTGTATGTTTCCCTGATCAGATGGTGATCTAGATCTACCGATAAGCACTAGTATCTTCGGAGCTGTGTCACTGGTCTTTGCTCCCATGTTTGGGCGTGATTGCAGCAACAATCCAGTGGCTTGAGGAGTCTTTGTGCAAGCAGATAAACTGATGGGGCACGTATTTCAATGATTCCATTGGTGTGTTCAACTGGGCCGCTGTCCCAGCTCATTACAATTTGCCATGGTGGCCATCAGTTAGCAAATGAAGTATTCCCCCGATTTTTCCGCGCATTGTGTCCCCGCCACCGCCGTACCGCTCCCATGAGGAGGTTGATGTCTGTGGTGATTCTTCTCATATTGTGATATTGGGCTTTACACCTGCCATGTCCACCCGAGTTTTCCGGTCTCGTTACCAATTATCCAGCTCACCAGGAACTTAGACCGCTCTAGCAACAGTGGATCAACTTCTCCGGAGTCGAGACTCTGGGGGTGACGAAAAGCACAAGAGGCTGCTTGTATATAATGTCAGGGCCCAAACCGAGGCTGGCCAAACCAGCACTCATTCTTAGGCCCCTCTGCTGCAAGCCTCCCTCCAGTTCACTACGCACTTTGTTGCTCCTTGTTTCTCACAACCTAAAATGAAATTCAGAACTCTCCATGAGCTCGGCCACGATGAGCGTGAGGTCACTCTCATTGATAACCCGGAGACTGTTGGGGAGCATCATCCCCATCTCCGTGGCACCAATGTTGTCCTTGTCCCTCACCCCAGTAGCGATGTCAACGACCCTCTTCGCATGCCGTCCTGGAAGAAGTGGGCAGCCTTTATTAATGTCTGCATTCTTACATTCATGACTACGGCCTGGGTTGGAGGTATCACCCCATCGCTCTTCGTCTTGAGCGTTGAGTTCAAGGTTGATGTGTCGCGTGCTACGGGACTCCTCACATGGCCAGTTCTAGCCGCAGGTATATGTGTAAGCTACACACCTTTTCCTTCCAACTTTTGTCCTTAATCAGACCAGAAGTGCTGACAGTATATGCTTCACTAGAATTTCTTTTGGACTCCGACATCCGAGTACCTTGGCAGAAGACCGGTATTCCTGGTCGCATCAGTCCTCTTGTTCGCCTGCGAGATATGGGCGGCGACTTCGCCGAATCTGGATAATCTTCTCGCAAGCCGAGTGATTGGGGCTTTTGCAGGATCCTGTACCGAATCTATGGGTGCATTGATAGTCAATGTTTGTTACCGCAGTCTTCTGATGCATCCGTGATGGAGCGACTAACCTCTCAGGATATCTTTTACCTACATGAACGAGGTGCTAAAATGGGTGTTTACTTGCTCTTCATCACTTCCGGCAACTCTTTGGGCCCGTTAGTAGCGGGTTTCATCACTGAGGGTAAGGAGAGATCGCCATCGTAGGCTTGAAATGTCCCACATTGACACGAACATTGTGCAGGAATTGGGTGGCGTTGGGTCTCGTGGATTTGTGCCATCATCTCCGGTATCAACTGCGTTGGCATCTTCTTCCTCTTTCCAGAGACTCGCTGGCATCGCAACATTGACGCATCCGCCACGCTTGGGGTAGGAACTCTGCACGAGAGCGTCGAGGACAAGTCGATGACTGAGGATACCGTCGAACATGTTACATCGATTTCAGATGCTACAGTTGGTGTTAAGACGACCTACATGCAGGAACTGAATCCATGGTCTGGAACCACACAAATCGGCTATGTAAATCACTTGATCAGACCTTGGCCGCTATTGGCCTACCCTGCTATCGCCCTGGGCGCCCTTGCTTGTATGTCGCCTCCCCATTGCCACTCTTCAAGATGACAAATAACTAATTTTCTATTCTATGATAGACTCGACAAGCCTGGCATGGCTGGTTGGAGCTGGCTCGTTAAGCTCCTTCGTCTTCTCTATCCCGCCTTATAGTTTTGGGCCTGGCGTAAGTGGTCTAATCAACGTACCAGGCGTTCGTGAGTCAAACCTCCCCTTGAAAAGTTGTGGATACCCAAGAATGATCCCGAAGTCCTTGGTCACTGATCTGCCTTCTTTACGAACAGTTGGAATCCTTTTCGGTGCTTTCATTGGTGGCAAATGTACAGACTGGGTTGCGCGGAGAGCGGCTCGCCGTAACCATACTCCCGAGTCAAGATTAGTACTCCTGGTCGTTCCTTTTGTCGTAGGTCCATGCGGTCTACTGATGTTCGGGATTGGCGCTCAAAAACGTCTGCACTGGATTGTTCTCTTTATCGGGTACGGTATGATCAACGTTCTACCTGCCACTGCGAGTATTGCCATGACCTATATCATGGACTCTTACTTCGAGATTGCTGTTGAGGGTCTCCTTGTCGTCAATGGTGTCAAAAACATCGTAGCTTTTGGTTTCAGTTACGGGTTTATCCCTTGGTCTGCCAAAGTTGGGTATACAGTTGTAAGTACAGTTCTCTTAGGTGGAGACAGCACGTTAATTGCTCCTTAACTAACATTCACACTATCTAGGTATTTGGAACAATGTCTGGTATCTTGATGTTTGTGCTGATGTTGTATATTCCGATCTACATCTGGGGTGCGAAGATTCGGAGATATACCACTTCGAAGATGAAGATTGTCCTGATTTAGGACTAGTGAGGAAGTTGAATCCGATTTTTCATAGAAGCGTACTCAGCTAGGGCTATATACGAAGTTGTGGACCCGTCATTCCCAACCCTAGATGTGGGCATTGCAGTCTTGCCACCGTTAAAGCTCACGATCTCATGACATTAAACGTGTTGCAACAACGAAGTGGTTGACAGTTGGGGCCCCAATATGATGAATTGTCGAGTCTGACTTCGCGATTATCTGGAGTTTCTATTAATTATGATGGCAGTATATCTATTTGTACAGTGATGTCCTGTCCGTTAGTTAAGAACATTAAAAACAAGGAAATATGTCACTCCACCGATTGGCATATCCTCATCATTGACAACAGCAGTGGTTCTGAATATCATGGTCATTCGGTATTCACTTGTCACGATAAGGTATTGGTGGCTCACGGGACAAGCAGCCATAACCTCGAGCATACTCCTTCAGTGCTGCAACATACTCAGACTCTGAGAACTTATTGCTAAGTCTGTTTACGCTCGATAACGTCCAATACTGTTGCACTGGCTTGCCTGACCATTTCTTCATCGGCAGGCGCGACGCTTTCATCCCATAAGACTTGTTGAGCAATGCCCTGCCAGATCATTGGAACTGTTCCGGGGATCACCTGCCAGCCTGTAGCCTCGGCAAACTCGTAGAAGGACGTCCGGATTCGTGGGAAATAGCACATTTCCAAGACAATACCCTTCTGGGATGTAGAATCCGACATCAAAGTCTGCGATATCTTTTGTGAGAGCTGTTCTTCCGGCGTTGCTGGAGCGTAGTCGGGTACAGTTCCGACGATAAAATAAGGCTTCGGAAGTCGCTGTGCTTGCTCACACGTATCGACGTGGATAATTGTCGCTGTCCAACCGACTACCTGAGAGAAGGTCTCGACGATGGCGTCAACTTCGGATTTGAACCTGTTGACCATATAGATGGTCCCCACGCCCATGAATCTGTGAAGGGCGTACAAGGCAGAGCGGCCAGCACCTCCTCCCCCGACAACCAATGCTGGCCATGACTGAGCTGCGAGAAGCTGTTCTGGCGACGCGTGGTGGGCGAATGCCTCGCGGATGCCGACGCAGTCAGTGTTGGTCCCGATGAATCGACGCTGTCCTTCAGACGAGATACGGATGAAGACTGTGTTGATGGCACCAATCTCGCGCCCTTCTGGAGTCAAATCGTCCGTTTGCGCCGTGAATGTGACTTTGTGAGGCATCGTCACTGCGCTGCCAACGCAGTTGTCCTGTGACAACACAGATATTAAGTCCTCCTGATTGGTCGATTCGAGAAGCTGGTATGTCCATGGCAGGCCACGCAATTTGAACAGCATATTATGCAAAAGAGGAGCAAGCGACTGCGCTATAGGATACCCGAGCAGATAGGTCCTGCATGCTGTAGACGACGGGATCGTCTTCCTAAGCGACGAGCCGTAACGGAAGGAGTCCTTGAGCGTAGAAGCCAGAGAAGGTACCGGCATAGAGACCTTATTGTCTGCCATGATTACCGTAGAAAGTAGGCGGGATTTTTCAGAAACGTTGTCGCCGTTGTTCTCAATGATTTCTTCTGGTTGCTCGATGAGAACTACATGGCCGAGGCTGCTGTGGAGAGACTCCCGCGAGTAAACCACCAACCCTGTGAAAGGTTTCGCT